TATAAATATGATCTAGTTATAAATGTGATCTATTTATAAATGTGATCTAGTTATAAATATGATCTAGTTATAAATGTGATCTAGTTATAAATGTGATCTATTTATAAATGTGATCTATTTATGAATGTGATCTAGTTATAAATGTGATCTAGTTATAAATGTGATCTAGTTATAAATGTGATCTAGTTATAAATATGAACCTTATGAATGTACAACACAGGCTGCGGTTTGCTATAGGTCTGCCTTTGCAGACAGGGTTAGGGTTAGGTTTTAAAGCTTTATGACATGACATTTTTTCCATCCTTATGCAGTCATCAGAACTTCTCTGCAAAAATACTTTCAAAAATATTGACCTGCTTATGTTTACCCTAAAGTACAAACATTTACTTTCCCTCCAGGTCTTAGGTTAACCTTCCAAACTTTTTTCTCACCTCAGCTACAAAACTGCCCCGATGTGTGAAACTCGCCTCCCTAACAGAGCTAAAGCTCTCGCGTTAGTTTTGACCTGTTTCCACTTTGAGCTCATGCTCAGATAAGAGTCAAATGTGAGTTAGAAGCCTCACCTTCTGACTGAGCCCTCTTTTTCTTATTCTTCTGGCATCACTTCCTGTGGACAGGACCAACAGGGACAGCAGCAGCACCACAAAGCCCGGCATGGTCCGAGTCCAACCTCTTATTGTGGAGATCTTCTTCTCCTATGTCCTCTCATGTGCAGGCAGAGATATCACAAGTCCTCGTCTCACCAATCAGACCTGACTTTACATCCGGCTGCAGAAAAGTGCAGAGCAGAATTACAGAGCGGAGAAAAAGACAAAAGCAGCTATGAAACAAGAAAGCTGAGGAGAGCAACAAAACAAGAGCGAAAGCAGCAGTCCGTGCATCTACTGCTGAGTGCACAGAGTGTGCACATGTCTGAGGAAGAGGAGGGGAGGTGAACGTGTCTGCTGAGACCTCCCCTTTTTTCCATCTTGGAAGGCGATCTCTGTGGAAATCTGTGAGAGATGTCTATTTGGGAATGATAATTATTTTTTGTTATAAAAAATTAAACTACTTACCAGGAAGTTTGGAGCTCAGGCTCATGCATTTAGTCCAGCTTTCAGCGTTAGATTATCTCGTTTAATCTGGATGGTAGTCTAAATTTACAAGTTGGCAAAATATTTAGTTAGAGATTTTTTATATTTAGATCTTAACATGCAAGTTAAAAATTTACTTTAAATGTTTAGTTTTAGTTCATTTAGACCAAAGTGCTGCATCTTTAGATTTGACTCCAAATGTTCATCTTTAATATTTATTTTAAAGCTAACATGGCAGATACAGACACAGAAGGAACATTATAGTGGCATCCTGCTACCATTGTTACCCTGTGCATGTAACATGACCCCACAGCTTTAGAAAAGCTGCAGGATCTTAGTGAGATCATGTGGCATGTTTGATGATTTCAGGGAAAAGAGGCCTCCTCCATCTCACAGGTCTTCCCTGCAGACATCTCTGCAGAGATACCTTGAGACTTTCTCCCTTCTCCATTCCTCCCTCTCCTCCTTTCTCTCTGCCTTGCTCTGAAAGGGTGAAAGAATGCTAAGCCTGCACAAATCTAGTCATTATTAGTTTTACAGCAGTTGAGCCCATGTCACCGGGAGGCCCCGGCTTCTCTTACACAAAAGACAGAGAAAAGAGAGAGCAGAATAGATGGAAAGAGAGAGAAAGAAGGGGGGGTGCAGTGGCAGAGAGGGAAGCGAAGTCTGAAGAGTGAAAAACTCAGTGGGGCTGAAGCTTCAACTTCAGCTTTTATTATTATAAAAACTATACCAGTCTTATATCGGGCGAGTATGAATGGAGGTGTGCAAAGGGAACCTAAATGGGCATTTACAGGCTGATTACTAAGTAAAGGCTGCGTGGTGGCACAGTGGTTAGCACTGTTGCCTCAAAGCAAGAAGGTTGCGGGTTAGAATCTCCACTGCGGCCTTTTCTGTGAGGCGTTGCGTGTTCTCCCCATGCATGCGTGGGTTTCCTCCGGGTACTCCGCTTTCCCCCACAGATCACAACATGCCCTACAGGTTAAAAATCGTACGTCACTTTGGATAAAAGCGTCTGCCAAAGAGGGACAACAGTGGATCCCGGGAAAAGGGAAATAAAGAGCAGAATAAGGAAAAGGTGGTGATGAAGGTCACGCAAAAGCAGCCTGAACAGCTGAGTCTTCAGCTGCTTTTTAAAGGAGACCACTGAGTCCACCGATCTCAGGCTCAGGGGGAGAGAGGTCCAGAGTCTGGGGGCCACAGCAGCAGATGATCCGTCACCTTTGACCTTTAGCCTGGTGCTGCACAACCAGTAGGCTTTAGTGCCCGGACCTCAGGGACCTGCTGGGGGTGTCTGAAGATCTAATAAGTTTTGCACACCAGTGTGTCTTCCTCAGAGGTAGGGTTAGGGTTATCAGCATGTCTGATAAGGTGTCGTGGGCTTTGGCATGGACGGAGCAGCAGTTTGCAACTACCGTAATTTCCGGACTATAGAGCGCACCTCAATAAAAGCCGCAGCAACAAAAAAAAAAAAAAAAAAAGTTTTTCTACACACACACACACACACACACACACACACACACACACACACACACACACACACACACACACACACACACACACACACACACACACGCTGCACTCGAATAGAAGCCGCGGCGCAGCAGCCACATGCAGGTCTCCGGCGCACAGCGCATGTGCGGCCATAACATCAGATAGACAGAAAGAGACGCTACATGGAGGTTTTTGTTGTTTCAATTCAACAAAACGGATTTTAAACACGGGTGAACGTGCCTGCAAGCTTAGAAAACTGCACTGATAGCATTCATATTTCTGGATGTTATAAAATAAAAACAGCTCTGACACGTTATTACCGGTAATCTGCATGTTTAGAAGAAAAGAACAGCGCTGACACAGCATTAATAAGCCCTGGATGAAAATAAAACCTGCACACAAAACACGCCTGGTTAGTAAATAAACCACACTTGCCTACCAGAAGAAGTCATTCACTCTCATCTTCCTCTTGCGCACTAAAGCCATTAAAGTCCTCTTCTTCAGTGTCGGAGCTGAACAGCCTCAGAAGAGCTTCGTCACATACCTTTTCTGTGTCGCTGTCCGTGTCGCTGTCATCATCCCCGGGTGAAGCTGGCTTGAATGAGTTCTTCCCGCTGCCGTCTCCAGCGCCGAACCATGGATTCATTCATGCCAAGCTTACGTGCGGCAGCACTGTTTCCCTCCTTTACCGCCAGATCGATGCCTTCAACTTAAATGCGGCATCATAGTGTAATGACCTGGCTGGGGTTGTAAGCCAGGTGCATTCTGGGTATTGTGTTATATGTGTTTCCTATCCTTCTGCTAGTTTCTATGTGTTGATTTGAGTGTTATGTTAATGTAAGCCACAGGGAAGGTGATGTGTGTTCTGTGGAGCGGGTTGAATTAGCATGGTTAACTGACACCGTGACTCTGTGTGGTAGGAGCGTGATAGAAGTTCGATGTCTGTAGCGTTACAAAGGGTTGAAGAAGAAGCCTAATAAAGGTCTGGTGTGAACCACTACTGCCTCCTGCGGGTTGAGTTGGGGACTGCCGCTGAGACGCTCGGGGTCACTACAACATGAACTCATACGTGTAGTTACCATGATGAGGGGGTGTGGATTTGAAGAAAAGTCTTCGTGGTGCCGGCTGCTTGCATGTGCCAAATTAAGACGAGCACTTCCTTCCATTTCCACTTTTGACTTCCACCTGTTTCACGTTCTGCTAAAGCGCCCCCTAGCGGCAGGTGAAGGAACACCTTGAGTAAAGCCGCACCTCATTGTAAGCCGCACGGTTCAAAGCGTGGGAAAAAGTAGCGGCTTATAGTCCGGAAAATACGAAAAATAACCCTAACCCAACCAATACGTTCAGTTTGTTCAACATGTTTGCCACAGAAACAAGAACGTTGGTTACGTATTGTAACCCCAGATTCTATGAGTCTAGTCGCAGCCCTTAAGCTAGCTGCTATTGGAAGGATGATCTCCGCATCAGCCAATCATGAAGCGCTTAAATGTACGCCCACCAATAGTGGGCCCCCTCGTGGTATATAACCGCAGTGACCCCACTGCTCACCTCCAATGGCTCTTATTCCCATCATAACCAGTGGGGCCAGTGGCTTAAGGGCTGCGGCTAGACACATAGAATCTGGGGTTACAATACGTAACCAACGTTCTATTTCGTCTAGTCTTAGCCCTTAAGCTAGCTGCTATTGGAATAAGGCGCAGCTGGATGGGTTTACGCCCCACTGGTTAACACAACCAATGGACACACCCAATCAAATCTCCTCCAGTGGGGGACGTTCAGCCTCAGACCAGGCCTAAAGACTGAGGCAGGCACGATAAGAGAGGGGCCCCCACTAAAAAACATCATCCACAAGAGGATAAAATCCATCTCAGCAAGGCCAATGAGGTGCCATAAGCATTCATTTAGCCTGCTGGGGTCCAAGCACTGAACGAGTGATGGAACCTGAAGACACATCTCGTAAATAATAACGAGTAAAGGAACAGGGTGAAGCCCATGAAGCAGCCTGACAAATGTCTTCCATTGACACACCACTGAGGAGCGCCATCGAAGAGGAAATCCCTCTGGCCGAGTGAGCCCTGAGTGCCTCAGGGGGATCCCGCCCTGATGATGTGTAAGCGAGGGAAATGGCGTCACACAGCCAGCGTGAAAGGCGCTGGGCCGACAGCGCCTGACCAAGGGAAGACTCCCTGTAGTGCACAAACAGGTTTTGTGAGCGACGAATCCCTGAAGTGCGTGACACATATCGTGCAAGCGCGCGCACCGGGCAGAGAAGGTGAGAAGCCGCCTCCTCCTCAGAATTATGGGGAGGAGGAAAAAGTCCAGCCAATGAAATTGACCTGGATTTGAAGGAAGCATTAATGCTTTTGGGCACAAAGGCTGGATTGGGGCATAAAACAGCAGACCCGCCATCCTCCCGGATCCTGAGGCATGCGGGAGCCACTGAGAGGGCGGTTAGGTCACTCACTCTCTTAACTGATGCTAGCGCCAGCAGCAATGCAGTTTTAAGCGACAGGAACTTGAGTGAGACCTGGTCCAAGGGTTCAAATGGAGCTTCAGATAAGCCGTGCAGAACCACCGTTAGATCCCACTGGGGAAAAAGCGGGCGGGACACAGGTCTGTTCCTTCTGACACCTTTTAGAAAACGTTTTGTGAGGGGATGATTGATAACAGATCTATCTCCAAAACCCTGATGACATGATGAGATAGCTGCAGCATATGTCTTAACAGTGCTGAATGCGAGGCCCCTGTCCATCAGTATCTGCAGAAACGATAGGACATCCGCCAGCTGGCAGGAGAGCGCTTGAACATTCCGTTCTGCGCACCAGTTCTGGAAAGCTGCCCATTTAGCAGCGTAAGACGCAATGGTAGAGGGCGCCCGCGCACTCTGAATCGTGGCGACCACATCATGCGGCAGCCCAGAAGCCTCTAAGCGTGACCGCTCAGCGGCCAGACCCACAGCCGTTGGCCTATTTCCGGAGGATGTTTGATTATCCGCCTGGAGAAGGGCGTCCGCCCTCCACGGGAGCCTCCACGGGGAGCCGGACACTAGCGCTTGCAGGTCCGGAAACCATGACGCGGACACGCGCCTGGGAGCCACCAGAATCACCGAGAGCTGTTCCGACCGAATTCGGTCCAGGAGACGGGGAATCAGAGGGACTGGTGGAAACGCGTAAAGGAGCGTTCGAGGCCAGGGCTGGTGTGAGAAGGCGTCCGCCCCGAGCGGGGGTCTGTCCCGGGGACTCAGGGAAAACCACAGGCGACACTGAGCGTTTTCGCGAGCCGCGAACAGATCCACAGACGGTTCCCCGAACCTGATCCAGATCTGTGATATCAGTGCAGGATGTAGACGCCAGTCGGAGTCGCGGGGTCCCCCTCTCGACAGGATGTCTGCCGCTACATTCAGTACCCCCGGAATGTAGATGGCTCTGATGGACAGCAGGTGGACATGTGTCCAACACAGTAAATCTGTGGCGATTTATGTAGGCTGCCGCTACCCGGTTGTCTGTGTGAACTTCGACATGACGGCCCTCGAGAAGGGCAGCGAAGTGTCTGATCACATTGCTCACTGTCATAAGCTCCAACACATTTATGTGCTCGTGCGTGTGGGAGGGCCAGCGATCTGCCACCGTATGGGACAAGCACGTGCCCCCCCACCCCGACAGTGACGCATCCGTAAACACAGATACGTGTGACGCAGGACGTCCGATGGGAACCCCGCGTGAGAGGATGCAGGGGTTCCCCCAGTGAGCGAGGTCCCCGCCCACTGAAGGGGGAATCCTCAACATACGTCTCTTCTGACGTATTGGGTGTACGCGGAGGCGGACGAACCAGCGTTGCAAGCAACTCGTGCGCAGCAAGCCTAGCGGGACCTTCGAATGGGCTGCGGACATCATGCCCAGGAGTTTCATGACTAACCGGGCTCTCACGATCTTGCGGGGTTGAACACGGGAGATCACCGTGGAGAGATCTGCCGCTCTTGCAGGCGACAAACGTGCTCTCATTAGGGAGGCGTCCAACTCCACCCCGAGATACACAATCGACTGGGATGGAAGGATGGAGCTCTTTTCCCAGTTTATAGAAAACCCTAGGGTTGACAGATGCTCTGTCAACCTCCTGGTTTGCTGTGACGCCTCGTCCTCGGACCGAGCGCACAGGAGAAGATCGTCCAGGTAAAATAAGACCCTCATTCCCTCCGTGCGCAGTGGCTGCAGCGCGGTCTCCAGACATTTGGAGAAAGTGCGCGGGGCTAGCGAGTAGCCGAAAGGGAGGCGATTGAACTGATATTGAACTCCCTTGAACGAAAAACGCAGAAACTTCCGGTGGTTTGGAACTACTGGTATGTGGAAGTATGCGTCTTTCAGGTCGATTGACGTGAACCAATCCCCGGGACGCACATATTCCAGGACTTGTCTCATCGTTAACATGCGGAAATGCATTACTGCTATGGAGCAGTTGAACAGGGACAGGTCGAGAATCGGCCTCATTCCTCCCGACTTCTTCGGTACTACGAAGTAGCGGGAGTAGAAACCCGAGAGTTCTTGTCCGCGAGGGACTCGGGAAATAGCGTCTTTGGACAGAAGTTCCCGCAGCTCCAGCTCTAGCGCCTGAGACTGTACTTGCGATGTGAACGTCGTCTCCACGATCCCGTTGAAGGGAGGTGGAGTGGCCTGAAAATGAAGTGTGTGACCGCAATGAATGGTGTCCGAAATCCATTTGCTCATGATGCAAAGGCGGTGCCACTCGTGCGCGCGTTCCGACAATGGACGCGTGTGCGCGGTCACGTGAACAACGTCTGAGGGTTGTGCATGCGCCCTTACCGCCGTCGCCCGTACCAGAGAACTGGGGGCGACCCATGGAGGGCTGCGCTCGAAAGGGCAAGTGCGAAACAGCTGGAACAGGCTGGTCCACACCGCGGAGCGTGGAGTCCGAGAGTGAAGGACGAGTGGGAGCCGGGCCTGTGCACGGGGGCGACAGAGTGCCAGCGGATGGAGCCGCGCACTGTGCCGCCGCGCGTGGTCGAGACAGCGACATGACATCCCGCCCCACCCAACGGCGTGGGGAGAGCGGGACGAGTTGGGCCTGGCCGGATGCTGGGGCCAGAGCGCAAATGGAGCGCACCCTTACGACTGGCTGTGTATTATGACTACCTGTACCTGCAGGAACATGTGTGCGTGCAGCAGTGCTTGGTGTGGGGAACATGTGTGAAAACTCGGCAGAGGATTCTGCGGAGGACTGTAGGATTGAGCTCTTTGAGTGACGTTTTTTGGGTTTTATTTCAAAACCAACAACATCAGAACAATCAGCAACACACACATTACCCCCAAAGAGTCACTTCCGTGGCTGCTTTCGGCGAGGCTCCTGCACCTGGGACTGCCAAGACGGCGTCTGCTGGCCCCGCCGGAACCGTTGTCCGCCATCTCGCTGGTCCCGCTGATGTGGAGCCGAAGCGGGAGGCCGGCTCCATGGAGCGGGCGGTGCAGCTGGACGTCTGAAGCTTCCGCGCCGTTCGTCCCATCCTCTGGCTGAACGGCCGGAGTGCGAGGCTGACCGAGGGTGGACCAGGTCTCGCACCGTAGCCGATAGTTCGGCCGTCTTCTGAGCCCTCTCAATGACGCCCCTAAGATGGGGACCAAACAGAACATCGGTGGTGATGGGGCCATCCAGCATCTCCCTTTGCAGATGTTCCGGAATGGAGGGCAGGGCCTTCAGCCAGATCGCGCGCTGGATGAGGGTCTGCCAGGCAGCGATGCGAGCAGAACCGGTGAGCACAGCAGCACACAGATTGAGGATGGCATCAGCAGTCTTAGTTATGATGGCTTTCGACTCCTCGGGAGCTTCCAGCTCCTCCATCATCTTGGAGACGCCGAAGGCAAGAAGGGCGATGTTATTCCCTGCAGCGCCGGTCTGAAAGGCACACTGATGTGCGCGGTAGGTGAGCCGCGTCAGCAGCTGGTCATGTTTTGAAGCGGGAACAGCTCGCGGGCCAGCGAGGTGGTTCTTGGCGCCGAACAGCGAGGCCAAATCCGGCTCTAGTGGAGGAACGGACGGCCAGCCTTGGTCGGAAAACCCCTCGACCTTGGTGATGGGCGCATACGTGGAGACTGGCGCCTTGAGCTTGGCAGGCTCGGAGAAGGCGGCAGACCAGCAGCTCATAGCAGCGGGGAAGCGCGGCCAGACAGGGTCTGGACAGCGTGTCTGAGTTGCCCCGAAAATTCCCGCCAAATCATCCGCTTCAGGCAGGGCCGGTTCTGGCACAGCTAGCCCCTTGCGGGCTGCTGACGCAGAAATGATGGCGGGCAGCTCCTGGAGCAGTGCTCTTACTGCTGGCAGGGAGGAGCGAGAAGCCACTGGGGCAGAAGGACCCGCTGAGCGAAGCTCGTCGACCTCCGTTATGTCTAGGAGGGATGCCGCCTCATCGTAGTTTTCGCTGTCAGTGACGTCATCCAGCCGGTTGAAGCCAGCCGGCTCCTGACCGGCGTCGAAGAAAACCAAAGCCTTGTCCAGCGGGTAGGAGTCAGCCACCGGAAATTCTTCGTCGGCGGCGGGAGTGAAGTACTCGACCCGGCGAATCTTCTCCGCCACGGGCAGAGCGGCACAGAACGGGCACGAGGCCTGCGGGGTCAAGGCCAGGCCAGCGTGGTGAGCCCCGAGACAGACCTCACACTTAGCGTGCAGGTCGCCGCTGGAAATGGAGCCCGTCTGGCAGGTCGGGCAGGGTCTGGTGTCGCTGGACATGGCTGGTAAGTCGTCTTCGGATAATTTGCTCTTTTGAGATAATATTTGCTCTTTAATAAAGCTCTCAAGCTTGGCATGAAGAGAAAAAGGAGGTGAGCAGTGGGGTCACTGCGGTTATATACCACGAGGGGGCCCACTATTGGTGGGCGTACATTTAAGCTCTTCATGATTGGCTGATGCGGAGATCATCCTTCCAATAGCAGCTAGCTTAAGGGCTAAGACTAGACGAAATAGAACACACCTTAGATTTTTGATATTTTGAAGTGGAATGGAATTGATCCTGTTCACACTCACACACCCCAGACACACACACCTCAGCCACGTCCTGTCAGGAGTATGTCTGGAATTTACAGCACGCACGAAGAAATAAACTCATGAACAGTTGCAACCAGATTCATGCAAAAAGTCATCCAACTTTATGCGATAAATCCATCGTGGACATGACAGAAACTCCGGAGTGCACCATTCTCTGTGCTACATCTACTAAATAAAACAGAGTAAAGAGTGAGAAGGTGGAGCTCTGCAGAGATCCAGTCTGCTGAAGAACAATCGATCAGAGTCCAATAGAAGGAAAGAGATTTCTTTCACCTGACAGGGACTCTCTGGAGGCAAATACCGGCTGTAGCTCTGCAGGATGAAGGGCCTTCTGTCATGACTCGAGGTAAGTGCCTAACCCAAGACATGCAGAATCATCACACGTAGTCCAAAGCAGTAAAATAAAAGGTCTTTATTATAATAACGGTAACTGAAACAGCCCAGGGAAGTCCTGTGGGGATGAGCAATACGGCTCGAGTCTCTGAGGTGCTCAGGATAATCAGGAGAGGAGGGGAAGCCGGGGAGGACGCTGGGCAGAGGGTGAGAGATCCAGAAAACGAAGACAGCGAGGGTGAGTAGATGATGAGAAGATCCTGGGCGAGACAAAAACAGGCATAAGGGATAATCCAATTCCAAATCCAAAATACAATCCAAGGTCATAAATCCACCAGTCGAAGGCGAGTCAAAACACGAGTTAACAAGATCAAAGTTCAGAGTCAAGGGCTGGTGCTCCCTAAACTGGTGCAATCATCCGGCAAGGTGAAGTGTCTCCATCCTCCTTTTAAACCCGCGTTCCTGATTTGGGAATGGCCTGCAGCTGTTGCTCCCTCTGCTCCTCACCTGTGGAGAATTAACTCAGACTCTGGTGAGAGGAGATGGTGTGACTCACCTCTGCCCAGGAACATGAATGAATGAATGAATGATCACATGCTCTCACTCTGACTGTCAAAATCAATCCCAGCCGGATTCATTGGTAATATTTGGCAGCTGTTCAGACCCAGATGTGGCTCGGAGAGCTGGGTAGCTCCTCGGACTCCTCTATGAGTGCAGGCAGTGAGGTAAACGTGAACGTGTGACTTTTGTTTCATAATGCAGACCAGCTTGGCATCTGCATGAAACATGTGGGCGTGAAAGGGTTAGAAGAAGACGTGGTGTGGTCAGAAAGTGAGAAACAAACATTTAATGTTAAAATTGCTGTTTTCTGCATGTTAAATGACAACGAGACCTTTTGTGTCGAAGCATTTCTACAGACGTGTGCGTGTGTTGATGCGGGTGAAAACATTAAATCCTTAAGGCTGGAAACCAGATTAATGAAGGTGTGAGGACAAGCAAACCCCAAAGACGTCCCGCAGTTTTACAGTCCAAACACGTTTCTTTTAGCTTTGTTGGAAACACAAGAGTCTCGATGTTTTAAAGGCAACAGCTGTTAAAGATCCAGTTTGGCAGGGACTTCTACAGAAATAAGGGAAAGGCAGGATGACGAATAGAAAGCAGATCAAATAGAGTCAGGCGTACACAAAAAGAGTCATTAGCTAAAATTAAACAATTTCTCTGTGAATTTAGACACTAAAACATTCCCAAAACTAAATCACAACAAAGCTGTTTGTGTTTGCACATTCTTTCAGCCTCTGCCCGTGCTCCACTCATTTATTTCTAATTCACCCAGAGCATAAAAAAAGCACCAATATTTTCTGAATGAGTCATTTTTTACCACTCTGATCAGCAACAGTTGTGTTTAAAGCTGCGTTTCCACATTTCCCTCCCATCCTGTTACTGAGCCCTTTGAGCTCAGGTAGCTGCGCAGCATTCCTCAACATGACCCCGGGGTCGGAGAAAAAAGGGAAAAGCATTTCAGCTGCTTCCACGCTGACCTTCAGCTCCGGGATTCCACGGCGGGGCCAGATTTACTCGGGAGCGGTTCAGTAAATCCTGTTTCACTTCAAGGCTGTCTGGGTTTTCGGCCCTTTTGGACCCGGCGCTGTAAAGCTGCATTCTAGATTTTCCTTTCTTTTTAATAAATCTCAGCACGGTCAAGGCCCGAGCTCTGAAAACATTTTCATCACGTTTGTCCTTTTTGCAACATCAGATTTTCACACATGCCCTCACGCCTTTAGACCAAACGTGTGTTTGGACCTGAAATCAACCAACTTCAAAGCAAAACCAAACCAGAAGTGACCTTTGGGGAAACGTGTGTGTGTATGTGTGTGTGTGTGTGTGTGTACTTTCATGCGTGCGTGCGTGTGAGAGAAAACAGTGGAAGCCTCACTTAGAAAAAACTTCCTTGAAAGTGTGTTATTGTGGGTTTTATGAGGAGTGACGTGTTTATTTATACTAGTTTATGTAACTGATTCATTCCAGGGTCAGAGTGTTTATCTAGGGGCTCTTCTTGGTTCAGGTTCATAGAAGCTGGATTTCCTGGTAGTTGCTCAGAATATAAACATTCTGCTGCAGAGACGGGGAAGAAGAGAAGTGCTTCCCACAGTGCCGTAGGCTTCATCAGGACAAGACGCAAGCAGCTGACAGAAAAGATCAAGTTAGCAGATAAATAATTCAGCTTTCTGCAGCTTACCTAAAACCAAGCGTCAGATTCAAATAGATGTTTGTTTGGTTTCCAGTAACACGCTTAAACCAGCTGTCCAAAACCATCAGAGTTGTTAATGTCAAACGTTTCACTTCTAATAAAGTAGTGAAAACAGTGAAAAGGGAAAACAATGAGCTGGAACAGTGGTGGTGGGAAACGAGACAAAGTGATGCAAAAGTGAAGCATGAAACCAGGGAGCATTGGTGCAGGGAGGGCGATAACTGAAATACAGAACAGGTGTTGGATAGCGACAACGAAAACTGAAGGAGGGAAGAAACGAGCAAAGACCAAAACAACAGCAACCACACGTGTACACATCGAAAATGGCTTACGTGACAACCAGCAACATGTTTTTGTCCCATTCTGTTTCATAGCTTTAGTTTAATCAACAGACAAAATTAATAAGAATTTGACAGGAAAAGCTTTCTGCTGTCTTCTTACCCTCCTGCAGCTTTGTGGACACATGAATGTTCTGCACGGACGAGCCGCACCGGCCACTGCTGAGAAAAAGGTAAAAAAAACATGTATCCTACAGGTTATTGCTTCTCAGGATCACTTCATGCACTTTCTTATTTTAAATAAAATTGAATATTTACTAGTTTTGCAGTAAATTAAGTTCTAATGTGCACTATCAGCAACCAGACACTAGGTGGAGCCATAGATGTAATTTTCACTTGTGAATTCAGCTTTTATCCATGAAAATAAAGATAAACAACATTTTTAGGAACATTTTGTTTTATTAAAAGTAATGAATACAAAAGTGTTGCATTAACAGCCTAAAACATCACATTATCATGGTCTTTGATTAAAAAATCTGTAAACTGTGACCATTAATTTAGATTTTACACTGCGTTCGTACCATAAATACACAGAGAAAGATAAAACCCCGGCAGTGCTTAACCTAGCATGTTTATTAGCAGCGTTTTTACAGAGGGGATTAGATTTTTAAAAACGTGATCTCCTGAAGATGTCCCTCTTAAGTCCAACCTTCACTCTTCATCCCAGAAGAAACGTTGAACCACTTTGTCTGCTTGAGGGAATCGTGCCTCTCAGCAGCTGTACTCCGACTCCTTCGGTTCATCTGATGGAGGATGAGCAGGAACAAAGCAGAGATGATGAGAGCTGCCCCAGACAAGAGGAAACCAGCACCGTAACTCTCCATCGTGTCAATGAAGAATCCTAAAACCAGAAGTTAGAGAGTAAAGAAACAGCAAGAGGTGTCATGGCACCCATGATGACACCTGAAGGTTCCTCTCAAAGATGAGAATGAACATTTGAGTTTGTGAAATGAACAGAAACAGGTTTTTAAGAATATTTAGGTTATTGTGATGTATAAGTGGTCTGAGAACTCAGCAAACAAGTTAAAAATAGTCTCCAGCAAAAAATACATCGTCTATATTTGTGTCCTTCACTGATACACAAAATAATAAGAAAATAATGAACAAACTCACTGGCTGGGGTTAATGTGACAGTTATGTCCTTATTTTCTATCCTTTCCATGCAGTCAGAATCAGGGTTTTACTGCGAGAATCACAACAAACAGCTGCAGTAATCTTATATTAATGTGGCAAAAATAAAATTGGCTCTTTGCAGATGCAGTATCTAGATCGTTCACCAGAGGGCGCCCTAACAAATACAACAGGACTGTGCGGAAGGCATTTTCTATTAAACTTAGATCTCCATCAGATATGACATGTTGGTGTTTTTATACGGATATTTTCGGTGGTAGTGATATATTTGCGGTGAAGTAGCAGGGCGTGGTTACCTGTGTGTGAGGGAGAGAGAGGTTTTATCAGTCAGACACCTGTTGGCCCTTTGTCGTGTGTTTTACTTTCGGGAAATTATCAACTGGAATGTGGATTGATTTATGTGCACAGACCTCCCCCAGCACCCAGCAGATGATAATAAACCTAAAATGAGTGGAACTGCATCATCTTCTGTTGGGCGTGGAGGTTTTGAGTTCAGGACACAGTATTATGTGGTTAAATATAACATTTAACATGTGAAAAACATCTTTTACGGCACCATCGCATTTAGGAAATCTAAAATAAAAGTCAGCGAAATTACAATTGTTGCTTCATAACCTTCAAGCAGAAGACGAGGCTTCGGTTTCCAGGTTCATCATTCAGCATCTTTTCTTGCTTTTATCATTTTCTTTTCAGGCATTGATTGGGTTTGAGCACCACAAGCACTTGTTTTGCTGAAGTAGAAGATTTCTGTAGCTGAAATCTCAGAGCTGCCAGATAAAACCACCACACGGATCATTCTGCCAAGCAAGACAACCAGGAGAAGCCTTTTGGTCATTTTTACCTGATATCTGCCTCCAGCATGTAAAGGTGTAGCAACCTGGCAGCTCCCACGCCAGCAGAGGAAATAAACATGCTTCATAGTTAAAGTTCAGTGATGGACTCCAAAAAACAAACAAATAAATAAATAAAAGCTGGGTGCTCCACCTGGACAATCTAAAATACCTGAGTTTTGTTTGGAAATCCCTGTTTGGCTTCCAAAGTACAAATATGTGAATTTGTGTAACTTTCCACTCAGGCGGAGACGTTTCTCCGGCTGGTTTTCCCTGATCACAGGCAGTGCAGCTTTTTTTTCCTGGCAAGATTCTCAGCTTGGATGCCAACGCTGTTTTATTACTGTTGTTGCTGAGAGGGGAATGTCGACCTCTCACTCAAAAGCTCGCCGGTTTGTGAGACGGGGTCGTCAGAAATGCGCACAGACAGAGGAGAGGAGAGGAAAATAACGTTTCAGCTGAATAAATTGAAGATGCGTTTTTTTCCTTATAGCTGGCACTTTTAAACCACATGAAGCTTTAAATGATTCATAAATGTGTCAGATAAGTGAAGTTTAATGTGAAGATACAGAACATTAAGTGTGCAGCCTGTAGAAAGCAATGACTTGCTTTGATCGTACGTATGAACTGTACATAAGATGAGATATTTTACTTGCTTTGCTTATTTTTCTTACATTCTCTCAAAATTCAATTTATTCATTGTAAAAATGTTTGTGACCGTTTTATTAGGCCTTCAGAGCTGCTTCAACATTTCTGTAATGAAAATGTTAAATACTTTAAATTTGTCAAAGGGAATGACAAAACAATGCAGATTTTGGACGAGAATAGCCCTGAAATAAGCAACAAAACGTTGTTATTAATCTCCTGTGCAACTTGTAAATCACAAAAGACACGATTTATGATCATTAAAAGGTGGTGCAGCATGTCAGAACCGTTTAAAGATTGAATTTTGTTTGAATGAGGCCCATTGAGCTGCAGTCACAATGCTAAATGATGTATTGGCACATCCATTGTGTGAGATTTAAACTGTTAGAGGAACAGAATCGAGAAGAGGACAATAGAAACTGTAACCTTGAGACGTTTCTGTGCAGCTCTGCAAACAGAAACTGCAGCAAACAACTGAACTCTGCTGCATTCTGCTCAGCTTTGTGTTTATTTCTAGCCTGCACCGGGGAGGGGTGGCTCACGCGGGATTTTACTGCTAACGTCTCAAAGCTGATGTCTTTTTGATGTGCACAGTAGGATGACTTTGTTCTTTGCAGCTGACTATCAAAGCTCACCAGCGATGGGCGGTCCGAGCAGGCCTCCGCTGCTGCGCATCAGCATGAAAAACCCCAGGGCGCTGCCGAGCCGGTGGACGCCCACGACCTCGGGCAGCACCGTGATGTGGACGGCAACCGTCGCTCCGAACACCAGGCCGTGAGCTGCACTGAAAGCAACCAGCTCTGAGAACGTGGAGGCAAGTGGGCACAGGAGCAAAATGGCGCCGAGGAGCATGACGGTGACCGCCAGCTGCTGCACCTGGCAATGGAAACAAAGTTTTAGCGTGAGTTTAAGAGAACCTGTCAGAACCATGCTGAACGCACCGTCTCAACAAGCCTCAGGCCCGCCACCCAGCCAAAGAACACTCTTCCAAAGAGATCCGTCACTGCAGACACGGACATGAGGGCGGCTGCGCGGTACTCCTCCATGCCCTTGCTGCGAGCGTATGGAACCAGGAAAAGAGACGGAGCAAAGAAACCCAAAGCAGCAAACACTCCAAACATGGAGTACACCATAAAAGGGGCGTGTGTGATAAGGGTGTAATCCACATAGTGTAGGACGCTGGTCCTCAGCCCAGTCCTCTTTGAGCTTCGGCTTGAGTCTTTGGTCAGTTTGAATTTCTCACGTAGTTCATCAAAACGTGATTTTATTTCCTCCTGCTCCGGTTTTTCCGACATGTCCGGTTTACTCTCTATTTTAAAACTCTTCTGGGTCTCATCTGATTCCTCCGTAGAGAGAGGCAAGCCTTCCTCTTTCCTGACCTCACCGACATGATTCACATCTCGTGTGGCTTTCAGGGGCCTCAGCAGAATCCCACAAACACACAGGTTTAACTGCAGCCCCCCGAGGATCAGTAAAGCACCCCTCCAAGAGAAGCAGCCAATCAGCAGCTGGAACAGGGGGGTGAGGACAAAGGTGAATATGCACTCTCCAGAGCTGGCCAAGGCGTTTGCCACTGGACGTTTCTTATCAAAGTACAAGCCCAGCATGGTCACCGTGGGGGTCCAGGTCAGCGCGTACCCAAAGCCTGCAACAAATAACAAGCAGGTCACTTCTGTTTTCTTTCACTTGCATTTGTTCAAACGGAAACTCACCGTTAAGGAAGCCCACAGTTATGTAGAGTTGAGTCAGGTTACGGGCGAACGCTCCAAACACAACTGCTGCGCTGCACATCAGTCCCCCCGCCATTACTACAGAGCGATGGCTGAAGCGTGCACTCAGAGCTGATGCTAGCGGAGCTGAGCGGGATCACACCAGACATAAACATGCTTCTACTTCAGGAGTTAAGAACTGTACAGTAGTTACCTATAATGTGAACAGTTGCCACTGCAATGGAGGTAATCCATGATGTTCCTGCTGCTGACGTTTGAAAGTACTGATGTATCTCGACGTAGAAGACACCAAAAGACTTAATCACACCAAAGGTCAGCCCAAAAACCAGGAAGCAAGACGCCAGGATGAACCAGGCGTAGCCCCCATCCGGTGCTGCTGGACTTACAGCTTGTCTTCTGCTCTGAGGGTCCATGGTGACTTGTGATGGTCCTCTGCAAAACCCAGACACACAAAGGGAAAATCGGGTTAAAAGCTATCTGTTCTAATGGCACTCTAATACAATAGTATTAGTACCGGTTGGCTCTGTGCCTACATTCATTCTTCACCATGCAGAATAGAGTACTAATTCCTTAAGATCAATAGTAAGTGGTCATCTAGTTTTCCAAATTCACAGCAGGAGGCCTTTAGAAGGAGTAACCCAACAGCACACTCACAAAGAAACAGGACACCTTAGACGGCCTGCCACCACGAGCAGGAGCCGACCAAGGGCCGAGGGTGGAACTGGGACTGGCTCCACGCTAGTTATTAATGACTGAAGCATGCAGTGTGTGAAGACGATAAAACATAGCAATCGAGCTACACGCTGATCTGCACGCCTCTGTCTGCCAGAGTAACCTCGTGCTTTATCATGCAGTCAGAAGAGGATTGAAACAGGCGGCTCGGTGTCCTAACCCTAACCCTTTCATTTCAACATCTGTGTCTTCAACTTCTCACCTTCTAACTGGTGCATGCACAGCGTCCGGAGCAGTTGGTGTGAAAACGACCTAAAGTGGCACATTTTCCAAAAATCATGCAAGAAACCTTGATAAGGCTCCCTGGTGTGTTCTTGTGTTTGGTTCAACTTCTGTTGATGTTTTATGTAAAAACATACACCGAGGTCTCAACCCACTCTGAAAATAAAGCCTTTTCTGGTCTGACTTTTGGTTCCATAATAGTACAAAAGTCCACAAAACGTGTCATTTTTATTTTCACGAAGATTGACTAATCATGATTTATCTCAAGCAGACATCATTTCCTCTAAAATCAAACGGTATCTTCTGTGTGGTGATATTTATAAAGCCAAAGACTTATCATTTAACAGCACTTTTTGGGTTATTTAGCCTTTCATAAGAGAAAAAAAACGGGAGTTCATTTTTCAAAGTTGTATTTTCATCATGTTATTTATAAATGTTACATTTCCCAACTAAGTATTTAGTTAGCAAGCTAAATATATCAAATTTAGAGTTAAATATGACCTAAATGTTTAGTTTGTAAAATAACTATGTAATGCACTAACTAAATATCAACTTTTGAGCTAAATATTTAGTTTACAAACTAAATATTTACCTTCAAATAAATTTTTTCTCTTCCAAAATAAACATCTAGATCCCAGCTAAATATTTATTGTAGAGATAAACATTTAGTTTGCAAAATCAATATTTATGTGTAGCCCCAAAATAAATATTTAGCTGGAATCTAAATATGCATTTTGGAAAATAAATACTTAATTTGTAGCTAACTATTTAGTTAGTGAATGAAATATTTAGTTTAAAATAAAATATTCAGGTCAGATCTAAATATTGAGTTTGTAAACTAAAATTTTTGTTCCAAATTAAATATTTAGTTTACAAACTCAATATTTAGGTCTGATTAAAATGTTTAATTTGTAAAATAAATATTTAACTCTAAATTAGATATTTAGCTTGCTAAGAACATATTTGGTCAGGAACTTTATGATTTATAGATATATAACAGTAGAACAGTGAGAATATGATAATGACAAATGAACTCCCATATTTTCTTTTCTGTTAGGCTAAATAACCCGAACAGCTGATGTTAAATATGAACTGTTTGACTTTATGAATGACACCCGACCCATCCATTTTCTTTACCCGCTTACCCTCGCAGGGCCGCGGGGGGGCTGGTGCCTATCTCCAGCAGTCTTCGGGCAAACAGGCAGGGTGCACCCTAGAAAGGTTGCCAGTACATTGCAAGACAACATAGAGACACACAGGAAAAACAACCATGCACACACACACACACACACACACACACACACACACACACACACCTGAGGACAATTTAGACAGACCAATCAACCTGACAGTCATGTTTTTGGACTGTGGGAAGAAGCTGGAGAACCCGGAGAGAACCCACGCATGCACAGGGAGAACATGCAGACTCCTTGCAGAAAGACCCCAGGCCGGGATGTGAACCCACAACCTCCTTTCTGCAAGGCAGTAGTGCTAACCACCGCACCAACATGCAGCCTGCACTGTAGATCATTTACTAAAAGAACAAAGGTTTCTCTTTCACACCTTGAGTAGTTTTTGGACACTAACATAGTTCAAGTGTATAAAAATGCAAATGAAAAAAAAACCACGGCTGTAAAATGTTTGGAAACCAGCCACTAGGATTTGTGATCCATGACGAGTTTTACTTCAGTTCCTTTTCCTGTTGATTAAAATAAGACTCTTTACAGTTATGAAGCCTGATTAGATGCACTGTTGCATTTAATTTAAGGGTACTACACACCATCGGTGTGGTTGGTGGCCTCAGCCGGAGTCTGTACCGCCTCAGCAGTTAAGTGTGACGCAAAGCAAAGCTACGCACGTCTTTGGTTTTTCAGGTTTACCTGTTGCATTCAGTTTGGCGCCATCATGTTCCTCCAGCAGGCCAGATCTGCAGGCTTGTTGTGGTGGAGATGTGGAGATGACACACAGACACGCAGGAAAAGATGTCCAAAAACAAGCTCAGAGGGTTAAGTAAGAGTTGTGTAAATGGTTGATGCAACACGTGAGCAGTTCCCTCAATCTGACCTTTGGAACGTTTTTGGATTCTTCAGTCGGTTGATGTTTGGAGTGAAACATTTAATCGGATCTTGTGGAAATGTCAAATGTGCCGTATTTCCATGGAATACTTAAATTGAAAGAAAAACCATAAAAAGGGAATTTTATTGGATTGGATTCTTATCATAAACAAAAATACTGCATCTGAAATACTTTTAGTTTTTAAATACATTTAAATCCAATATAAATGGTTTCGAAACATATATGATGTATTTTCTTCATCTTTAGTTTGTTTCTTTTAATGAAAAGATTGAATTAAGCCTAAATAGTTTGTTCTAAAACTGTTGAATCACCACAGTTATCACCTGGTTGGTTTGTGTCTGTTGTATGTAACGTCCAGCAACGGTCAGTTTTTAGGTACTGGTTGACCATTCAACATCTGGTCAACATCTGGTCAACATCTGGTCAAAAGGGAGACACGAGACTGCACGTGTTCCCTTTAAACTGGCCTGCCTTCATCCCACCAGCTGCAGCTCGGAGCCTCTCTGCAGCTCTGAACACATGATAACGAATGTCAACAATAATGTTCTCTCCTCAAGGTCCATCCTTATCGTCCTACAGGACTCTTCATGCCTCTGAATGAGGAACACTCGCAGCTCGGATCAGTTGCTAAATCAAAGAATGATTTCCTAAATCAGATGTGAACTTCTACAACTTATAAGCTAGATAATCATTAAATAAACGTTTGTTTATTGCTACTTATAATAATTATAATATAATGAAATGTTTCATTAATCTGTGCTCAATGATTGAAGTTTGAAATGATGCGATGTTTCAGCATGTTTACGTGACGAGGTCATCACCATTTGCACTCACACAAGAACAAAGTAAAGTAAAGTTAAACGCGTGACACACAGATAGTCCGTTACCCAGATCAGAGCATCCGGTACCAAGGAAGGCGTGTTTCTGAGACTCTTGGTAATATGCCTCAAACTTGCCAACCTCTGGTTGGCTACACAAATCATAACATGAGAACATTAAAACTGGATCACTCTGGTGATTCCTCAGGTCTAGAGAAGCTTCAGACCGGCCATCTGAAACAAAACCTCGTTAACCATCAAAGCTTTTGACACGTCGTCAAAACCTTTTTGCTCCTGCGAAGCTGACACCTCAACAGTTCCTGCAGAACCAGCCGATATCGTTTAGACTCCTTCAGAGTCCCAGACGCGCGGTTCCATCCATCTGTCGTGACCTGGAGAACACTCTAACACGGTCTAGTAGCGCCGCAGTTTCTTCTACGGACCTCGGTGCCTGGAAGTCCGAGGACTTCGACATTCCGGATCTATCACGAGGGTCTCCGAGTGGGTAATGTAGACACACAGATGGTGTCTGATGCGTTTTTGATAATAATCGACTTCATAGCTTAACGCAAACCAAATCCTGTTACGTCCAGAACTCGGCTCTCCGAGATACGGAAGTTCGGACTAACATCGCATTCACATCTAGTTCCAGCCATCACCGTAAATGCCAACTAGTCATGTTTTAATTGTTTGTAAAATAAAGTCTTACTCTGATAAACCTGACTGTTTCCTGAGTCTAAACGAAGTGTGTACATCCCCTAAGAAATAAAGAATCCGAGAATCTTCTGATTAAAGCCCAATAAAGACCAGGCAGGGAGATATTCGACATTGAGATACAGTATCACAGCTTATTGGTCATAAGCAGAGGTGATATTTATATTGAGCTCTTAAAGCACTCAGTTTACCAAACCCTACATAGATTTCCCTCATCAATCATGAAAAACCAGATACACGGCTCTTATTTCTTGCTTACTCCTCATTTATTTTGCCAAGCTTGAGCTGTTTAGAAAGAAACTGGAAAAATTAGTGCAGCCCACATGAATGAGGAGACGACAGAGTCCCACACTGGGGAACATCAAAAGGCTTCAGCGCAGTGGGGCGGCTCACAGAGTCCCTTCAGAAACTAAAAGCCTTCTCACAATAACGTCTCAGCTCCTCTCATCTCAGAGGGCGAACAACAAACCCTCCACTAAATGTCCCACGTCCAAGACGCTCAGAGCCGACCTTTATTCAGAGTAAGCATTTGGAATCAGATTTGTTCTTCCTAAGGAAATCCTAATTAAAAAAAGCTATTTTTACTTCAGCATCGCTTCAAAGCTGCAAAAAGATTTCAACTGAAGGTTTTCTTCAAAGTCGAGTCACGAGCGATTTTAAACGACTGTTGTTAATATTCTCATTAGAAAAAACAAAAGCATGTTCATTTTTATTAAGTTTTCTTGAAGCAGCGCTGGGATTGTTCCGCTTTGATTTCCTGACGTGCAAAATGAACATAATTATTGTTGAGCCGAGTCTTTAGACACTAGGATGGTTTACATATTAAGCTGTAGTTTGTATTTTCCCTGAACTTTCTCCTGGTTGAACTGCTTGGCCATATAAATACTCATTTAGCTCTTGGGCGTCACAGTTCAATGGGGAGGCCAGGCTGAGAGTTTGTCTACAGATAGATGAGTTGGCCAAATCCACAGAGTTTGTAAAACGTTTACTCAAATCCTGACTCAGCAGGCAATCTGAGCAGGCACGTGCAGCAAAGGGGGACGATGGGGTCGGCGGTGCATGAGAATTCAACAGTTAGTCGTATTTTGAGACGTTAACATTTTTAAAGAGATAGGATTATCAGTGTGTGAAAGCTCAAATCCAACAGTTTCCTTTATTTTGATTCTAAAATGTCTGATATAAAAATAAAAATCAGATTTGGTGAAGGATGTTCAAACACATGTTTACAAGGACTCCAGTCAACAGGAAGAAACTACAAGACCTTGGCCAGGGTCAGGGTTAGGGTCAGAGTTAGGGTTTAACCACAGACTTTACTTTAGAGTGTTTTACGTTCAGAGTTTCTTGGAAACATTTTTAAGTTTCTAGAATCAGCGAGAGAGTCCAAAACTTAACAGGAGATTAATTTCACTAATTTTAGCCATTTTAACAAGGGTTGTTAAAGTGTTTTGAACTGACTTTAACCAAGTTTACATAAATTCCCGGAGTTTCAGCAAGTTTTAGCAGCAAACCACCAGCGAGATGCTGGGAGATCAGGATGTTGGAGCAGCTCAGAGCTCACAACAAACACTTTTAGTTCAGAATCTTCCGATTTCAGGAGACATTATAGTGAGTCTGGTGGTTCAGTCTTTAAAGTGACAGTGTGTGTGTTTTTCCTGGCGATAGGGGGCATTAGATACCTAAATCATTGCAAGCAAGTAGTGTTTTTGTGTTGGAGTAAGAGCTTACCAATGGATGCCCATTAGGGTCAAAACACCCTGGGGACTGCAAACTTCAGCAAACTGGCACATCAGACTTCCTATCATCCTTGTCATCGAGTGAAGAGGTAAATGTGTAAAACAACAACGTTTATGAATAATGAAAGTTTTAACCATTTGTTACAAATCAGTAAATGCATTTTGTCCTCATGGGCTCCTGTAGAAGGAAAAATGGCATCTACTATGGCATCGCCCAGAGACTTAGGGTGTTAAGGCTCTAGCGAGGCGAGGCGCCTTGCTTGCGAGGACACAGTCCTTCCTTGGTCAAAGAAAATGGTTCAATGGAACAGACTTGCATCACGTGACCGCGGCTTCCACGGCGGTCACATAACGTCACGTGACACGGGAGATAACGTGATATTTTATACGTATTAGTTTCTATATAAATGTAAAATGAGCTTTTACTTTTTAAATTGTGTATATGTTTATTAAATGAAAAATATAAGTGAGTTACTACCCGCTAGCCACCGAAGCTGCAGCTACTAAGCTACTAACCAACCATCGATAACTTCTTTGGATCTAAAACAAACATTTCAAATTAGTTGACTTACTTTTAAACTTGAAAATTGTCTCAGAAGTAGCTGCCGGCTTCTGATCCGCTGTCCTTTTGAAAATACTGCGGTGCATTCTGGGTAATTTTTGACCAAGGCTAGGCTACAAGACACCTCCTGTGCATCCTTGCTCAGCTAGCTAAACGGCTAACAAACGGAGAACACACGCCTCGCTAGAACATGAACATTGGAACACGCCTTGGCCGTTCCTGATGACGTATCTCCTAGGCAACCGGGGCGGGGCTAAGACATCAAGGCGAGGTTCCTTGGCATTGAGAATTACCCTTAGACCCGCTCCCGTGTGTTTTAGACCTGATTTTTATAGTCATATGTTACGAAGCCGCCAACATTTTTCAACAACAGGCATCAACCCATTCATTGTTAACAACACTTCGATGCAGAGATTAATGGTAAAAACTACACATAGTCTCTTTAAGGATTTTGTGCAGAAGGTTCAGAGTTCAAAACCAGAAGCATGACTTCATTTTAGACTTCATGTGAATCCTTAAAAAGCAACATAATCCGGTCATAAGAAGATGCACAGTCAGCTAGAAACCTAGAAAACTCAGGCAAAAAACCCTTGTTGTACTTTGGAGGTCGATAAACCGCTGCACAGAGGAGTGGTCGTGAGTGACCAAGTTCAAACAAACACAGCTCAAAGCTGGTATTAGGCGACCAAGCTGGGAGGTGTTTGATCTTGTGGTTAGCTTTGCAGATAACTGCTAATCCACCACCACGCCTAGCAGCTCTCGGCACATTGATAAAAACACAGTCAGTTGGTACCAGTTCATTAAAAACAGAGGACTCACCCGGTAAAATCCATGATGCAGTTACACACAGGACCTCCAGGCCATGAATAGTAAAAAAATCATTTAAAATGAACGACTTATTAGCCACTGACCTGGCATTGACCAGGCCCCACCTTAAAGATGACGACCCAGAGACTCCAGCAGAAGATTGAGCTCTGGATACTGGTCGAAGATACCGCAAGTCGATTCCTCTCTGGGAAAAACGATGAAAAGGTGGGGGACGATCACCGAACCTCCAGGAGCAGCCAGCAACAGGAACGAGACATGAGCCCACTGGATCCCGTATCCTCCACGGCACCACACACCGAGCGGATGACCACCTGACCACACGGAAGCCACCAAGCGAGGCAGAACTCCAGGCCTTCAACTTGACAAGTCGTCCTCCACGACAGCCCCTCTTCCTGCGTTTCCTCTTAGAAGTGAGCGTTGACGACGCAACTCACCAACACTCC